GCAGTGCCTGCTGGGCCAGCCTGGGTGGGGTGTGTGTGGTGGAGCTGACTGCAGATGCCGCCGTTGGGGGAACAGGATCCTTATCCTGCTGTTTATAGGCCCAGGTACCATTCTTTTCTCTGGAATCTTCTCTCATGCCAGAAGAACATGGACTGGGAACTGTGGACATAGTGGCAAAGCCTCCTCCCTAAAATAACCTCAGCTTTGTTACGCAGTGCCAGCTCCAGTCTGTTGCGGTGACATTTTATGCTTTACCCCAGAACCCCGGTTTATCACTTGAAGGTGTGCTCCCAGGTGTGTTAATCACTCCTGTTTTCCCCACTCTGACTCCTGCCAGCACTGTCTGTCACTCCTGGTGTTCCAGAAGTGCGTTGAGTGCTTGGGCAGATTCAAAAGTTGCCCTCCAGCCCCAGGGGGCTTTGGGCCATCCAGATGTCCTTTGTCCCCTGAGACCTGCTCTCGTACCTGGTTGGTAGCTCTCTCTCCCTTCCCCCGTCCCCTCCCCCAGATAAAATAGAGGGGAACCCCGCAATCCGAGAGTTCTGATGGAGCAGTGACAGGATTCAGAGCTCTGCTTGGAGATGCTGCTACATTCAGAGGCCTGCGGGCCGGCATAAAAACTCTGGATTAAATCCTCCATCAGAACAGACTCCTTTCCTTCACCATAGCCTTAAAAGCCTCTCCGACAGCGGGAAACCTGAGGAGCAGACCCCTTGAGAGGGAAGCTCCTTCCGCCACACCTTGAGTTCCAGCTTGCTTGGACTTGTCCTCATGTGCCCAGCTGTAACATCCAGCTAGCCAAAAGTGTCTCTGGGTTGAAAAACCACAGTTGCTGCCATTTAGTTCAGCAGCAGGGGCCAGACAAACCAGTCTCGTGCATTCCCGATGTTGGTAACTTCAATACCAGTCCCAGCTGCAAAAGCTGCAGCAGGAGCCTTTCCTTAAAGGAATGGTAGTGAAGAACCTCAGGGAGCATGGCACTGCCACCAGGAAAACTCCCATGTGACTCATGAGCTTGATAGGTATATAAAAAATACCTGAACCAAAAGGTTTACTCTGCTTTCTTTCATTTGCATCTTGTCTGTGTGGAATACTCAGTATCCACAGTACAGCTTTGTGGATGCTGAGAGAGAGAAATGGGTTGTTTCCTAGGCATCATTCTGGATAAAGCTGTGAGAAGCTCAGAGAAAAAACTTAAAACTATTCTTAATCCGAAGTTTCTGCACCTGGTGTTTGTGACCATGTGGAGTATGCTATGGAAACATGTTTACCAAAGGGTGGTCTCTTAATTAGCCAATGGTGATGGTGTGTTGATTAAAGGATTAATCAGGTCCACCTGTATCAGAATACAGTATAAAAAATAATGGGTTCCTAATAAAATTCTTATTAGCCTTCAAGAGACCTAGAGTCTATTTGTCACTTCTTTACCCATTCCTGAGTCAGTGGCGCCATAGCTTCACCACAACATCACTTAAATCCTCCATCTCTCTGTACATTAAATTCATTTTTATATTGTCTTCTGCCACTTGCAGCATCAGGAAGGAGAGAGCACAGATGCCAGGCTGGAGACACCAGTAGCCCAAAAGTTCCTTTTCCTGTTTCTCCTCCTGCACCAGAGAAAAGGAGGCTTCCATTTCCTCTTCTGACACCTCTGACAAGGACTCTCAACCCAGTGCTTTGTGTCATCCTGCCTTGTGTAAGGACCCTGTGGTGCTGTGGTTTGCTGGACACATCCAGGGACACAGGGACACATGCAGGGACACAGGAACACAGACCCTGCTCCTTGGAAACCAGCACTGACCTGCTCCTCTGGCACAGAGTGGAACCTTTTCAGATTCCCTGCAAAAAACACCTCCCAGTTAACCCACCATCACAAATGGGTGCAGGTGGTGGCTCTGCTTCTGCTGAGCATGCAGAATCCCCCTCCCATATTTTTTATGATTGCCACCTTGTCACTGTGAATTCAAATCTCAGGATTGTGAACCAGAAAAGACCAAGATGTTCCATTTGCCAAATCCCCAGCACCTCACCCCTTGTAGTTTGGGGGGACCACATGGCTCTGCCAAGCACCTGGAGAGGAAGCTGCCAAATTGGACACCTGGCACAGACTCTCCTGCCTGGCAAGGACTGTCACTTCTCCCAGTGGCATGGCTGGCATCAACCTCACTGGATTCACAAGTGATGGCTGCATCCAGCTTGTATTTCTTCACCTTGGTTGGCACTGGAAGGAGGCACAGTTTTGTTGGATCACCTGGTTTACAGAATTTGACATCTATCCTGGTGTTGCTCTCATTTTATCAGAAAAGACACAAGAGGGAACCCTGCTTATACCTCTGACATGGCAGGTGCACAGACCTGTTGTCTAATAAGATGTTCTTGCAGTGTCTAAAATAATTTTCCATATTCTGTGAGTTTTGCACATCCCACACCAATTGGTTCTTCAATCAGAGGGGAAGAGACATAGGAAAAGAAGAGGAGAAGAGGGAATGGTTTCAATCAAACAGGGGGCAGGGTGAGGCAGGATGTTGGGAAGAAATCTTTCCCTATGAGGGTGGACAGGCCCTGGCACAGGGTGCAGAGAGAAGCTGTGGCTGTGGCATCACTGCAACTGTCCAAGGCCAGGTTGGATGGGATTTGGAGCAACCTGGGATAGTGGAAGCTGTCCCTGCCAATGTCAGGAGGGGGAAAGAGATGAACTTTCAGGTTTCTTCAAATTAAAACCATTACAGAGTTGATCCTGTAAGCCTATGCAAGAAGGATTCAGCTTCCCTGGTACTGGCCTGGTGCCTTTGCTCACACCCACCAGCTCCTGTGCTCATCCCAAAGATTTCCCTGCTGGCCCTCCAGCCCGTTGCCGCTGTGCCTTGGGTGTCACAAGAGGTGTTGCGTGGGGACAACGGTGACATTGATTGCAACAGCCCCAGGAGGCACCTCAGCCTCTGGCCCTGCAGCAGGGAGGGACCAGGGGCAGCCCCAGCACCCCGCAGCCATGGGGCACTCCCGGGTTGGCCCAGGGCTCTTGTGCCAGCAGCAACTGGGGCCTGTCCCACCCACCAGCTCTGCTATAAACCCAGCCAGTTTGGGGCACACGGATACTCCCTGATCTGGAATCCTGCCCACAGGTGATTGCAGCTTGGTTTCTTACACACCATTTCTGCCTTGGTGTGCTCTGAACTTACACCTTTCTCAGGTAGGTCACTGGGGAGTCACTTCTGGGCCACCAAGACACTTCCCTGCCCTGCTGATTCTTCCTGGGCCCGTGTTGCACAGGAATTCAAAGTGGGCTGGCTGGGAATCCTGGGAATAATCTGGAGCAGAGGATGGACACTTGCCAGCTGAGCTGGGAAAACTTTCCAGCCTTCAGGAGATTCTGCCGGGTGTTTGGGCAGCAAGCTTTGGGCTCTGTGGTGGGGTGAAGTGCATTGGAGAAGACTTCATTTGGCTTGGCCTCTCCAGGCACAAAGATTCCCCTAAATCCTTGACCCTGCTTTGGCTCTTGGTGTGTTCCCTCTGCAGCCCCGAGAAGAGCCAGGACAGACATCAGCCATGAGGATCCTCTACCTGCTCTTCCCCTTGTTCCTCCTGCTGGCCCACAGTGCTGCAGGTGAGAGGGACAGAGGGGAGATGGCTCAGGTGTGAACCCCCATCAGAGGGCTTTTCAGCTCCTGGAAAGCAACCACAGTTCTCAGAACATTTGGGAGGGATTTGTTGTGAGGAAGGTTTGGGCTGCTGAGGATCCTGCACAGCAACTCCTCTGGGTCCTGCTGGTCTTTCCCTCTGTCTTTCCCCACATGCTCACATTGCTGTAGAAAAAATGAACTCTGACTGGAGAGTTTAAGATGTTGGGTTGGGTGCTCAGTTCCTGTACAAGACTGGGACTCAGGGCCAGCAGCAGCTGCTCTGGAACCAGACACCTTTTTGACATTTATGCCACACTCACTTTGTCCTCTTTCACTGTGCAGGATCTTCCTTGGAGCCAACAACCAAGGAACAATGTCAGCGAGAAAATGGGTACTGTGGATTTTTGAAATGCAAGTTCCCCTTTGTCATCAAAGGAAGTTGTTCCAGGTTCTTCTATTGCTGCAAAAAGTAAGTATTGGAATTCCAAAATCTGCTGTCATGGCAGAGGGTGTTTAAAGGCCCCTAAGGAGTAGCTAAAGGCTCAGAGCCCCTGAGGACTCCAGGCAGAGCTGAGGGGAGGGGACGGACGGTGCTTGGAGCTGTCCTGAGTGGGGCTGCAGCAGCTGCTGCTCAGCCAGGGCCTCCCCGCTCTCCTCCAGTCCCAGGGGGCTCATTCAGGCTGTGCAAAGGACTCACCAAAGCCAGCAAAGAGGGAAACATTCCCTGTCCTTGGGCTGCACCAAGGACATGATCCAGGTCTTGGTGCATCTGCACAGACCTGGAGCCAGGGCTGCCAGCACTGAGATACCCCAGGCCCAACCTGTCTGCACTAAGGACTGCACCTCAGCTCCCCTGAGC